AAAAAAAAAAAAAAATCGAAAATTTGAAAAAATGGGTCGGCGGGTAATGCAAAACGAAAAATCAACTTTGCGTGGCCTTATCTAAATTTCCCTTGAGACTTAATCTTTTTAACTCGACTTGTAACTTTAAAAACCCCTTTTGAGACTCAATTCGACGGACTGAATTGACTTGTAACTTCGATTTGGCTTATTAAGACTCGAATTCTAGAACGTTTGTGGAATTAGATATTGCCATTCACATTAATGACTTGTGGGAATTGTGGTAGAGAACGGCACTTATGTTTGATTATTCGACTCTGTTAATTCGTCACGTGAACTTAGAGTTACACCGATATCACTTGATCATCATCCGCTTTTAGTGATAGTGGAAAAAATCGGCTAAAAGCAAATTATCGGCTTAACCATTTTTTTAAAATCGGCTGACCGATTTTATTACTATGATTGTGGCATCCGAGGTAGAAAAATGAATGAACCGAAAATATGAGCAAAGGTTGAGGCCCAAATTTTGAGTAATAAATGGTGTAATTTAAAATCGGCCAAGCCGGCTAGGGTGGTAAATTTATTGTAGCCGAAAAATTTTGATCGACCAAAATCACTATCCGCTTTTACCTCATTATCTTTACTGAATATCACTAACGGCATCACCTGTAGCTGCATCACCCCTCATCATCCCTGATTGATATTAAAGTTTGTTATAGTATCCTATTGTCCATTTAGTCCTTTAACAAGCCACTTCGCTTCTCCAAGTTTATATTTATTTCCACGTACACCGTTGGTGTTAATTGGCATTTATACTATAAATTGTGACAAGTTCATGGCATTATATCTGTGCCTTTAAGGTTGACATACCTAATTTCACGTTCGCTTTTAAATCTTACATGCAACATATCTCAATTTTTGTTTCAGTTATGTTGGGCAGCTACTTATAATTTAAAACAATTGCAATGCGATTTATATAGAATTAGATATGGTTGATTTTATTGACTAATAGTGCAACAACACATACATTTGCTAAATAAAATACTCTGTTTCTCATTTTGCATGACAACATAGCACAGCTATCTTATTCAGTGTGAAAAGCTTATTCATTCAAGGCTGTTAATTTGAACATAGATACATAAACGTTCAGAAATTATGGTTTGTATTGCATATATATTTATCGATACAATCAAATACACAACACACATCTCTAACTCCCTTTAAGCAACTCAAGCGCCTAGTTGGTTGCGCAAATGTTTTTCAGTAGTTCAGTAGTTGACTATACTATTGGTAAACAATTGAATCCATTTCATTCAAAAAAAAACCCCCATTCATCGATCGTGAAAAACCAAACACTATCAACTGGTTTACAGGTCACGGAGAGATCCATTAATTAATGATTCAGATGCCTCATCAAAAGTGCAAATTGAAGTATCCCACCGAATTTACGGGTAAGTTTCTTGATTTGTATGCGAAATTCTAGATAAAACTTATATGAAATTTACCGTCAAAACCATTATTTACCTAAAAAAACGAAAGAAGCCAATGAGACATGATTATGAGCTTTACGCTCATCCACAAACTTGTCTTGTCACTCTTAAATAAAACGTGGACATGGACTTGATAAATTCACAGAACATGTGATTTTATTGTAACATTTGGGAAAGGTGTATCAAGTTAATGATGACATAAGTGAAGACGGAAACAGGCTGCATTGAAAGCTTTTTTTTAAGATTTAACGGATCGATGTGGAAAGCTATACATAATATATCGATACGTATAATTCGAAAGTCGCATATTTCAAGCAGCATTAAACGGTATATATTTCGATGGCACGGATTATGATTTTAAAATCGATTGGAGAAGGGGATGAAGGTGCTATATTCGTTGAGGCCCCATTCCAAGGATAAGAAAATAGATCGTCAGCTCGATTTTGTCGAAAATCAATAAGAATCGAATCATAAGGTATTTAATCTTACAGAAATGATGAAATTTTGAGTAATGATAATTTCTCACGTGCTTGTCTCTCTTTTAAAACCAATTGTTCCTACTGAATCTTTGAAAATGTTTTAACCAAAGTGCGCTATTATGGAAATTATGTAGATATTTTTGCTTATTATCCTTGAAAAAGGAATCAGGAACCTAGAAAAAAGATAGAAAAGTTACTATTGTGTTGCCAGATGAAGTATTACCATCAAAAGAAGAAATGCACAACTAATTTTATACCCCTGATGGTATTATATATACTAAATATTCATAGCTTAAGTTTCTTAATATGTTATACATCGTCTGTTTTAAATTAAATATACAAGAATTTCAACCCAAGGCTTAGAGAAACTTTAGCTCTTGAGGATGATGCTTACATAGAAAATGATTTAGATGATGATTTTTTTCAGCTCTTAATGCTGAAGAATTACCTGAAGAACAAGAGGGTTATGAAAAAGAAAAGGCTGAAGAGAGTAATTGGCAAATAGAGGTTCAAAAATTCGGAAAAATTAGAACAAATTAGAAAAGGATATTAATGAAGAATATGATGACGATAGAGATTAAGAACTACCGGCAACTGTTCTATGTCAAGTGTTATGCATAGAAACGATAAACTTCGATTATTGGATGATCAATTTGAAAGGGTTGATGATAATATATTTATATTCATAACCAAAAAATTTGGTCTTAATGGATTCTAGATCTTTCGAATTAGATCGAAAAGGAGTGAGTATATGGAAGATAATGACAATGATTCTGATATCGAATCAACGTCGTCTTCTCAAGTTTTTTAAAATTCTTTATGAATTCCTTGATAAATATGAAATTAGCGGAAATTAACGACCGGAAAATTGTGCCAAAATCAGTAGATACCGTACAAAATCAATTGGAAGCAATTCGTCAAGAATTGGAGCAAGTCCATCTTAATGAACGAGGATCTGAGTTAATGGAAGAGTTGATTGACAAAGCTACTAAGATGAGTAAAGAGTACGTAGAGGTTGAAAGTGAATCATTTACAAAAAAAGGCTTGGGATTATCAATCAATTCTGAGTAAGCACTTCTATATGTTATATAACAGCAACCTTCTAAGGAAATTCTATAAATTATCGATTTTAAGTACATATTTCAAACCTTGAAAACCATCCGACCTTAATAAGCAAGCAACCTTGTAAAAAGTCGAATATAGACTCTGATGGTAAGAAACTTCTCAAAAACGAAGAATCTGATTCAGAAAGACAGGTTGAGGTTGCGGAGGTCAGTTAAAAAGAATGTTGTAGATGATACTAGTTAATGCTAAAATCTGGACCTAACGCCATTTTATTTAATATGAACTTTAGGAGAGTCGTTAATATAAGCGGGGACCTGTAAAAATTCGAATTTTATTAATAATTTGAAATTCATATTCATATAAATAAATTCCAAAATTTTCCGGGTTCATGTAAAAATTCGAATTTTATTTATAATTTGAAATTCATATAAATAAATTCCAAAATTTTCCGGATTCTTGTGTAAAGTAGGGTTCATAGCAGAGATAGCACATGACTGCCAAATAAAGATTCCAAATTTTCAATATCATCCACAATATATATTAATCAACATTTTTATTATTAATCATACTTATGATCCTGCATATTTCATTAGTAAATTTATGCGTACTCATATCAAAAACTAAATCAAAAGAAGTAAAGAAACAGAGAAAATCAAGTGTAAAGGCCGAGAGAAGGGTAAAACGTTAGCTTCATTAAATTCCGATTAATTTATGTGATTTAACTTTCTCTCCGTGTTTAAAGATGTCTAACTACAAGATTGGTCAAGAGCTTGTGAACAAATCATAATTGATTTGGTCAAGATCATTAGAATAGTTTGCTTGAAATGTTAATGTATTCATATATAAACTATTTGTTATAGTATTTCTTGATTTTGACGCAGCAAATGTATTTTTATTTTGAACATTCTTTTACAAGTATAATAAAACTATTACTGAATCTTTGACAATATGTACATATCAAAACTCATAGTATCAATAATGGAAGTCATTCTAAATGAATCAAGCCAACGATTTTACAAGAGAAAAAGCATAATTAATACTGAAAATTTGACATTTAAAAAATAATAACAAATTTGGTTTAGGCCGCAGATAAACTAGTCTGAGTTTCTTTTCTTGTTATCTTAGGATATGGAGTTTAAATGTATTCTTTTCATTGTAAGAGAATTGAATTAAATTTCAATAAAGATAGAGACATGGTCTTACCATTAACATTCAAAAAAAAATAATAACAAATTATTTCAAACCTTATTCCAATCGATTTTTTTAACATGTCAGTGGGAGAGCATGCCTCTTGTGTTGTTAATTCAACATTAGATTCATTTTGAATCTCATTCTCATCTTTGTGATGATCCTTTAGAATAAAATTTTCATAGATAACATATGCATCTGAATTTACAGGCAGCTCGCCTCCTGTTTTTGTTTTTTGGATTTTCGTTCTGATGATGGTTTGGATTTTAGTTGTGATGGTGGTTCTGATGATGATGGTTCAGATTTTAGTTGTGATGATGATTCTGTTTTTGGTTATGCTATTTGCTTAAATCTATTGTAGAACCTTTTTAAATTTGTATACGTGTAATTATGCTTACCCATCTTTATTAATTAAAAAAAAAGTTACAATTTCACTCCTTAAATATTAGTTTGTTTTTTTACATTACACCTGATCTAGCCAAGCAACAATAACAATCACACAATATGTCGCATGTAAAATTTTCTATTAAAGTTAGATGATCAATGTACTAAATTTTCATATAAAAATTTCATCAAAAAAGCCTTCTGACTTTTATTTAGTGAAAAGGAAGCATTATAACTAGTTCAAAATAGGTGAGGATTTGTTTTTTAACATTAAAAACACCCTATAAAATTTGGTGGTTGTTAAAAGTAAAACTGAGAATAATCTACTCTAAATAGAATGACCAGAATTATTGTTAAATTATACATGCAGCAAATGGTAAATTATATATTATATTGGAAATTATACAAAATATGCAAAAATATTTTTTATTAGAAATTGAAACTAAAGTCAAAAAAAAAGATTGATTATTTTTAATTATAATATTTTAAATTCTACTCATAAAAAATTATCAATTACTTTATTTATATTGAAGACATGTCAAATACTTCTAATTCTAAATCTAATATATATATACATCCCAAAGTTAAATCAATTACTATCCTATATAAATTAAATGCTATTATTAAATAAATACTTGCTAATAATATTTTTTAAATACTTAATGTTCTGTAAGTATTTATTTATATTTGTTACAAGTATTTTTTTATTATTATAATTTAATATAAAATAAATATTAATTTTAAGTATTATATAAATACTTATAATTATTAGTATTA